TTCCAGGCGAGGGAACAGCACATGTGAAGGTCGTGCAGCCAGAGAGATGGGGTGTATGAGAGGAACTGAACAGGGGTCAAAAAAGAGAGAGGTCATGGGACTGGAGAGGCCACAGGCAGGGCCACCCACACAGGGTTCACAGGACGCTGGGCATTGGGCTTTCCTCAGAGAGCCCCGAGAAGCCATTGCAGGGTTTGAAGCTGGCTAGAGGGAGAGGACGTCTAGGCCTGTGGAGGCTTGGAGAGCTGATGCCGGCCTAGGCAGGGCTGAGAGGTGGACGGAGGAAAACAGGAGGACAGGAAGAGATGTCGAGGCAAGGCCTGGAAGGGAGTGAGTCCCACAGTCCAAGACAGGAACCTGGAGAGGACCAAGTGCTGAAGGAGTTGAGATGGGCAGGGCTGGAGGGGTGAGGCCCGGCTGGTCTGGGCTGGGCCACATACAATGGAGATGCCGTTGGACAACCAAACACACATGAAGGTGCTGATGGATCTGGGGCCTGGAGCTGCTCTCAGGGACCCAGGCTGGGGGCGTAAGCAGGAAAACAGGTGCACCCTGTGTTAGGAGCCGTTGGGGAGATACCCAGGCCCCACCCCAGGTCAGTGAATCACAATCTGGGGGTGGGCCCAGGCATGGCTGGTTTTCGGTTTTTGGTTTGTTCTATTTGTTGTTGTTGAATCCACTGTCATTTATTTTAAACATGCAGACCAGGTGGAGAAACACTGCCCTGGAGGGACCATTGCACAGGCCTGGGGGAAGCGGCAGAACCCACACTGGAACAAGGTAAGAAAGAAGCGGAGCGGAGTACTCACACAGAGAAAGTCTGGGCAGCGCTTTCAACAGTATTGCCCTCAAAGGAGACCAAGCCGCCTGGGAGGGACAGGAGGTGGATGTAGGGCCAAAGAATCCTGCTTCTCTTGATGGTGGGAATGACTTGGGCATGTTTCGACATTGATGGGGAAGACAGAAGAGCTGCATGAGGTAACTGAGAAGGTGTGTGGGGGAAACACAGGAAACCAGGTCCAGGGCCAGCCATGTGGCCTGGTGGTTGGCGGCTGGAGCCCACATGGCTCACCGTGGCTGGAGTCCGGGCCCCAGCGGCTTCGGGAGATGTGCCAGGGTGTGTGCACATGCGCCCTGATGGGTGGGGAGGGCGGGGAGAAGGCACTGTGGCCACAGCTGTGGGGGGTGCTTTCTCTCTCTGTTTCTCTATCTCTGATTCTCTCTGGCAAGTGTGCATGCCCTCTGGCACTTCAAATTAAAAGTGAGATAAAGAAAGAAAATCAGGTCCGGCCTTGGAAACTGAGAGCAGGGTCACTAGCCAGTGAAGAGAAAGGTGGCACTGAGGCTGTTTGCCCCCTTGAGGGTGGGCATGGGGGGTCTGCATGGCTACTTCGGCTGGAGCACTTAAATGCCAGCACAAGAGCTCCGGGGCACCCTGATCTGGTGTGACAACTGGCGATGCTCACAACGGCCCTCACACACCCACCTGGGCCCGAGGAAAAGAGCGGAGATGGGGGGAGGAAGTCATCTCAGAAAGGGTCCAGAAAAGACCACTTGGAGGAAGAGACAAACAGGGGCAGTCAGCCAGGAAGAAGAAAGAAGGAAGGTTCTGGGCCCAGGGAGAAGAACGAAGGAAGGTTCTGGGCCCAGGGAAGGCCACGCGCTAACTGTCTGTAGCAGGAAGCCAGCAGGGAACAGCTGGTGGGGTGCGGAGGATGAGGCCAGGGAGAAGTGGGAGGGTGAGAGGGGTGGGGAGGTAGGAAGGGCGCAGAGGCAGGTTTTCCACGGGGAGCGGGGAGCGTTTTAAATAGGGGAGTCATTTTGTAACAACTTTTCCTGGCTGCTGTGGGGAGAGAGGTTGGAGGCCACTGCCTTGTCCTGGGAGGTGACCAGCATGTGCTCCCAGCAACCTCAGAAGCAGGAGGTGCAGCACGGGAGGTGGGGCTAAGAGCCAGCAGGAGGGGAGACCCCCACCCTCCCAGCCTCCCAAGGCTGCAGATCTCATGGCTGCCTGATAAGTTTCAGGGGCAGAGCAGAGGCAGAGCCTCCCCACAGGCAGCACAGGCTGGAGCAGACCTCCTCCTACTGAGCTCCAGGAGGCTGCAACAACCCAGGAGGAGCTGCCAGACTCCCCCCGATGACAACGGTGTGAGCTCGGACCCAGCTGCACCTGCTCTCCTGGCC